CAGCGCGGTCCCAGAATAGCTTGTTGTCATTCAGCATTCTGAATTCAGAATTTTTTCGAGCATTCTGTCAGGGACATATTGATAATAAGGAAGATGGTCGGTTTAGAGAAGTCCCAGTTTGTCAGCTAGTTTTTGGTGGATAATCTTTCCTACTGAGTCATGGCGTTCTTTATAATCAGTACCGACAAATGCGTGGCAGCCACCGGTAAGATGTTGGATGGTTTCTTGGGCTTGGCATCCATATCGGCATTTGTCATTTTGGACTTGAGGATCTTTAACAATATATTTTAGGTAATTTTTAGTTGTAATTACCTGATCCTGAATTGCCATTCGAGTAGGAAACCCGCAGTCTCAGGAAACATCTTTCCTGATGTCAACCAATAGTTCGACGCTGTATTGTCGACATATTCTTGGCTAATCTCATTGAAATGTAGCCCATGCAGAGGTTTACTCATCCAGGTGCGCATTTTTTTACGACAGGAGTTTTAAGTGATTTTAGAAATAAATAGAAAGATTTCACTTTCAAAATTATTGTGATTTATTGAAATGAGTACTGAAGAAGAAGAAATATTGATGTTTACTCTTCTGTGCTACCGCTGAAAAAGAAGAAGGAAAACTCGAAGGATGTGGATAAACATTCAAGGAAGAAAAGATAAAGGACACTTCAATCATTTGTTCTTTGACTTACGGAGTCATGAAGAGCAATTTTTAATTTTACTACTGTCGTCATCCCTTCAGAAGCAAACATGTCTCAAATTTGCTTCCAGCATTGTTTTATGATAATTCTATCACTGTATTCTAATATTTTCACGCCCCACAAAGCGGGATGATTTTCTACTTCCCCAATCAATTTATCGACATCTATTTTTATCATTTTCAGACAAAAATATTGAAGAAAAAACAAAAAAAATCCAACAGAATTGTTAGTAAACTGCTTTCAGAAAACCGATACATGTGGCACGGTGATGCAATAAAACGCATCTACTACTAGTTAGGCTGTTTTGAAAAACGAACCGGGGAGTCGTCCCAACCATCAACCGACTCTGTCGCTACCCATTCACTCAACATAGACAACGTCCCGATTCGATTTTACTTACGGTAAACGCTTCGGTAGACTGTAGGTCCTCATGGTTTAGGACAACCTAATGATCGAGGAAAGAGATTGTATGAATTTTGTAAAGAAAACGATATGATCATTGCAAACCCCTGGTATAAACTACCCAAGCGACGACTATACACTTGGAAAGCCCCATTTGATGATAACAATAACCCTGAGTCTTCAAGAAATCAAATAGACTATATACTTGTAAATGAGCGTTTTCAGAAATGCCGTCAAAAAGTCACTACATATCCTGGGGCAGATATTGTATCTGATCATCAACCACTTGTAGCAGATATTAAACCAAGGTTAAAACGAATTCAATGACAAAAACCAAAAACTAATGAACTTAACTTTGACGATATAAACATAAAACATAACATTAAAAAAGAATTTAACAATAGAATAAAAAACATCGGAGAACAACTAGAAGATCCAGAAGAACTATGGAGTGAATTTAAAAACCAAGTTAAGAAATCTCTACAAACAATGATTATAGAAAAAACTTAATCAAGAAAAATAAATGGAACAACATCGACTGATAAAATCTAATGTAACAGAATATAGACACCTGCAGAGAAGAATAAAAAAGGAGATCAAATTAGCCAAAGAAAATGGATGAGAGAAAGGTGCAGACGAAATATATATATATATATATATATATATATATATATATATATATATATATATATATATATATATATATATATATATATATATATATATATATATATATATATATATAAATGGATATGGAATATCTAAACACGACTTGTGTTTAGATATTCCATATTGTGTGACTAATATGCACAAAAAACTAAAAGAAATGAGTAACATATTTAAAAATCGAGTTCCCTCTGTACTCGTTGACAATAATAACAAAATTATTGTAAATGAGCACGAAATAAGAAAAGAACGATAGCTGTATATATCAAAGTTGTTTGAAGACGACATGAATAATATTGCCGAATTTTACCAAAACTGTACTGACGGCCGAGAAATTATTAAATGCGAGGTAGAACACGCTATAAATAATGCTAAAATTAGAAAAGCTTGTGGTCCAGATGATACACCAACTGAGTTGCTGAAACTAATAGAGAATGATAACATAAAAGTAATAGTAAGACACTTCATTCACATTCAATATATATGTATATATATATATATATATATATATATATATATATATATATATATATATATATATAACACCAGAGTAATTCCCGCAAATTGGCTCAAATCCTTCTTTGTCCCAATACCTAAAAAACAGAATGCGAGAAAATGCTCATAATATCGATTAATGAGCCACACTCTTAAAATTTTCCTCAGAATACTTCACAACAGAATTAGATGCAAATGCGAAGAAGATCTTGAAAATACCCAATTTGGTTTTAGAAATGCTGTGAGAACCAGTGAGGCATGCTTAACATCCTATTATAAAAATGCCGTGACCAAAGAAAATATGTATTTGCATGTTTCGTGGACTTCGAAAAGACATTCGATAAAGTACAGCATGTAAAATTAATGCAATTACTGAAAAATTTCGGAATAGATGACAAGGATATTCGTGTCATTAAAAATTTGTACTGGAATCAAACTGCTATCGTAAAAATTGGAGATAACTACACCGATGAAATCTCTGTACAACGAGGAGTCAGACAAGGTTGCATTTTGTCGCTAACATTTTTCAATCTTTACTCGGACCAGTTATTTAAAAAGGCACTTGAGAGACAACCATATGGAATAAAAATCAACGAAGGACTACTTAATGTGATTAGATATGCAGACGATACAGTAATTCTATCAGATAATATTGAAGGTCTTCAAATTCTGCTTGATCGTATTGACGAGGTAGGAGAGGAAATGGGCATTAAAATAAACTCAAACAAAACCAAATTTTTAGTGTTTAGTCGTGACCCACATCCCGATGCAAAGCTTCAATTAAACGGAGTCCAAGTTGAGAAAGTTCACAAAATGTGGGAACTGTGGACATATAGAAATAATACGTAGAATAGCAATGACTAAAACTACTTTTATAAAAATGAAGTCATTTCTTTGCAATAACCATCTCAGTTTAGAATTAAGGCAAAGAATGGTTAAGTGCTATGTTTGGTCCGTACTTTTGTATAGTGCAGAAGTGTGGACAAAATTGTAGCATTGGAAATGTGGGTTCATAGACGAATGCTGAAGATACCTTGGACAGCAAGGAAAACTAATGAAGAAGTACTAAGGAGCGTCAACAAAGACAGAGAACTGTTAGAGACTGTTAAACATCGAAAAATGTCTTATCTGGGACATATAGTAAGAGGAAGTCGATATAAAATTTTAGAACTGATCCTTAAATGCAAAATAGAGGGCCGTAGAGGTGTAGGAAGAAAACAAGTTTCTTGGTTAAACAACATTCGTGAATGGACTCAGATACCAAATGCAGGACAATTATTCCATATTGCAGAAGATCGAGAAACCTTTGCAATGGTGATCGCCAACGTCGGATAATTCTGATATGGCACGCGAAGAAGAAGAAACGCTTCGCTAAAAACCTCCGCATGTATCATGGCACTTGGAAAGTTTTTAAGTAAAGTTTCTCAAAATCTGGGAACATTTAGCTGTATCTAGTTATATCTAATTCTGTCTAACACGTGGGTTTTTAGGACACGTTATTAACAATAGTTAAGAATTAGGACAACATTTGAATTCTGTCTTCTTTAGTTCAGGTTGGCAACAATTTCAGCGAATTCTTTGCGGTTATGTGCCATTTTCAGGAGTGTATGTGAATCGGGTCCTGTCTAATTATGGATTTTCTTCAGTCAGGAATACTCCTTACTTTCAGGCTATCTGCGGCGCTGTATTTTTTTCGTTCTATGATTAGTTTTATGTATCTGGTGTCGAGAGATGTTTCCTAAGTATTTGGTCTTTCTCATCTTGATTAATATTAACAGTTTATCACATTATATCATCATTTTTAAAGTCTCAAGGCGGTTGCTATTCTAAGACTGCGGTCGCTTAGTTGAGTCTTCATGTTACGAGAGTTTCTGTTGCCACCAATATCCTTGTTCTTATATTTAGGTATCTAGGTCTAGGTCTACTTTTGTAGACTGATATCCACCATCGTATTTGTACTTTGTCATTAGTTTTATCGAGTTCTCATATATCGGTATGTTTATCTGCAACTTGTGTTTCCTGTACTCACTTATAGAGCGGAAACATTAATACTCACAAAAAAGGTAGTTAATAAGATTCGCGTGACTCAGATATCCGTTATGGAGCTCCAGGTGTTAAGTGTCTCTCTGAGAGATCGAATCTCAAACGAAGAAATACGTCGTAGAACAAAAATAACAGACGCTATCGAAAAATTGCGTCGTTAAAATGGGATTGGACAGCACACATCGCCAGATTATCAGACAATCAATGGACAAAACGTATTTTAGAGTGGAGACCAACCCAAGAAGCGATACGGAGCAGAGGACGTCCACCAACTAGATGGACTGACGACCTGAAGCGTGTTAGCAATAACTGGATGCAAGCCGCACAAAACAAAAACAGATGGGAAGAGCTGAGGGGCACCTATGTCCAGCAGTGGACGCATACAGGTTGATTATGATCTGCAACTTGGAGTTTCAGTCTATAACCATGGGCCTAAGACTATGACCTTTTCGTTAGAATTTCTTCTACAATATTTCTAATAACGCAGTGTTCTATGAACCTATCTATAAAGCAAATGTATATTTCTTTCCTCTGTTCTCTGCACTGTTAGAATCTTTAGAATAAACAACTTTCCTCTGATCTTTTAAAATACGTTTCGACGCTTTTCTGTTTCGAGTACAAATTTAGCTAGTTAAATTTTCTGATCCAAAATATATTCTTATATCTACATAAATCTAATATTTTTTTTATTTTCCAGGTTCTTGGATAAAAACAGAAGCGTCCGCCAATTACTTCTGAGCAATGATCACGACGAGCCTATTATTGTATTTAAGAAATGACTGAATATTGACAGAATTCTTATTTAAGACTTAAATCTTCGACATAATATTTATATTTTGTTTTATTATATATGTTTATTTTATGACGTTTTATTTGTAATTGTATTTTTTGTTATACGCTCAAATGTATCTATTAAAAAATACTAATTCGATCTGAGGTTTTAATTAAAAAAACATCCTTTATAGAAATTTATACTTTGATAGAGTTTGCCTATATTATAAAATAACACACAGATAATCACTGACAAATAATTTAAAATTATATTTCGCACTAATTGGCTAATGAGCTACAGTGTCCAAAAAGGCCTTGTTAATACGCCAAAGATACCAAAATCAGATCTAAGCGTGTCTCTATATCTATCAGAAAGGATTATGACAACAAAGATAATAATGGAGAACGAGAACCTGAACATCATCGGAGTATACGACCAAGCCTCAAACAATAAGAAAACCATTTTCTCAAACCAAGATATCTTAGCGTACTTCTTAATGTCTTGCACTTGGTGATAGCGCTGTTGACATGTTATGTGTATGTCATTATTTTGTCCATTAGCACTCCTAAATACTTTGCTTGGTTAGACCAGACTATCTGTGTGTAGAACATCCTCACTTGGCGGTCCGGGGTAATTTCTCGGGGTTTTGTAGATTGAGAATGCTTTAAATAAATTGCTGTATCCAAATAGCTCATTTTTTGAGTGTAAACACTTGATGCCACACTATGTCAAATAGCTTACTGGCGTCTAGAAATGTAGTAGCAGTGTATTTCTTTTGGTTTAATCCCTCTGTGATGTATTCGACCAATCTTAAACTTGTAGGCCGTTGGAATGTTCAGTTCTGAGACCAAATTGTGCTTGTGGTATCATGCCTGTTGTTTCAGACTCTTTTTTTAACTTAGCTAGTATTAACCATCTCTATAACCTTGTTTATTGATGATAGGAGCCTAATTGGTTTTAGTTTTGAGGAAATGTTCCATTTTTTCTTGATTTCCGAAGCAGTATCTCTTGTATTTCTTTTCATTTCTTAGTAAATCCTCTTAGTCTGAGCATCGCATTTATGATTTTGATGATATATTATATTTCTTTCCTCACAACATTTTTTAGTGTCCTCTCCTGGTTCCTGACCCGATCTTGTCCCAAAGTTTTTGCTAAGTATTTAATTATTTTTTTGACCCCTTCTGGGGAAGTGTGGGTTATTTCTATTTCTCTTGGGTTTCTTGGTAATGTTCTGTGGCTACTTCTTATATGCCATTTTTATCCTAATAGTAGTTTAGCCTGAATTGTCTTACATTTTTCATCGCTTCGGCTTTTTCTTCTGTTGTGCACACTTTCTCATTTTCTCCGTGTAATGATGGACTAGTTTTGTTTTTATATCTTAGGATTTTTGAGATCTTCCGTATAGCGGGCTTGTCTCTGTCTAAATGCTACTAAATTAAAGAATTTGCTATGTTTTGTAGCTTATCAAGTCAGAGGGAAGATGTTAATATTATGGGATTTTAACGCTCAAATAAGCAATCAAGTAATGCTAGTAATTAAGCAACAACATAACGAGAATGTTAAAAACGAAAATGGGGAACTGATGATTAACTTCTGCCCAAATAATGAACTTAGAATAAACAACACATTTTTTGACCAAATTAACATTTGGTTATGTTACAACCAACAGAAATATACATCCATCGAAAATACCGTAAGAAGCCTCAACTCAGCAGATTTAGGTAGCGATCATAGCCTAGTATTATGTAAAATAAGAATCATCCTGAAATCCTTCACACCCAAGAGAGCGCCGCCAACACAACATCAAGGGAACGCTGGTTTATTTAATTTTTTTTACATGTATATTATCACTTTTTTTCTTGAAATCCGACAATTAAATAAAACTACTTACTGATACTATATGCTTGGAAACCTAAATACGAAACTCAAAATATATGTTACGGCCATGACTAAAAAATGGACCCGAAATTAGTCCGCCACTGAACACGACTTCTACTGAACACAAAAAGAAATATGAAGAATGATCCGAGGACAAAGAAAAGTGATGAACCAACCAAAAAAAAAAATGAAACACATTCAGAAGGAAACATGGGTAGACTACTTTCGATCCCTATTTGCTAAAGGTGACGATAATGAACCACTAACACCAGAGGTGACGACAAACGAAGAAATAAATATTGAGGAGGAAGAGGTAAAGGAATCATTAAGGAAATTCAAAAAATAGAAAATTACCAGGAGAGGACAGAAGACCAAAAGAACTCCTTAAGTACGGACGACAGGAGCTGACCAAATAACTATTAAAACTAATCCAAAAAATAATAATAGAACAAAACAGAATTCCTCAAGAATCAAGCATCGTAATACCTCTCCTCAAAAAGGGAGACAAAAAATCATTAGAATACAACAAACCGGCATATCTATGTTTCGTGGACCTTATGGAAGCATTTGACAGGGTTAAGTTAAAGGACGTTATCCACTTATTGTACGCAAGAGAGATACCTCCAGGAATAATCAAAACGATCGAAAATATCTACCAAAACAACACAATAAAAGTAAAAGTAGAAAAATAACTAACCGACCCTATTGAAGCTGGCAATGGGATAAGACAGGGAGATTCCCTGAGTCCTATATTATTCAATATGGTTATAAATGAAATATTAGAAAAAGTAAGAACTAAAAAAGGATACCAAATAGAAGAAAAATAACTTAAAATAATCTGCTAGGCAGACGACGCAATACTACTCTCTCAGAGTGAAGATGATATACAAAGTATGCTGCACGAATTTAATATAACCGCCAGAAAATTTAACATGTTAATTTCCTCAAAAAAGACAAAATGCATGGTTATAACAGCAAATTTACTAAGATGTAAATTGGAGCTAGAAGGTCAGTTATTAGAACAAGTGATGAAGTTTAAATATCTAGTCATCACATTATCTAGCTATTGAAAGCTCGAAACTGAAGAGAAAGATCAAGTAAATAGAGCAAACAGATCCGCAGATTGCCTGAATGAAACAATGTGGAGAAATAAAAATATCGGAAACACGACCTAACACAGAGAGGACAAAAAGGATATTAGAAACAGCAGAGGTCAAAACACTTAGAAAAATTAATGGTAAGACACTATGGGACTGAGCTAGAAGTACAGATATACGACATAGATGCAAGGTGGAGAACATCAAGGACTGAGTAAAAAATAGAGGAGTAGAAATCTAACCATCATATAAATAAGCCGAATGACAACAAATAGAGTAGTCAATACGGCAAGGGTTCTCCAATAGGAAGTCGATCAGTAGAAGACGTAGAAAAACGATGGAACGACAACTTACTAGACAATTTACATCGAAAAACAAAATCATGTCTAGATAAAAAGAAGAAGAGGTTTTGTAGCTGTTTTCTCACCTGCTTGTTTGGTTGATTTCTTTCTTTTCTTACTTCTGTATTTCTAGTTCTGTTTTCTCTTTTTTGCACTCTATTTTTTTCACTTAGTCGTTTTCTTAGTCGTTGATTATCTCCTGAAATATTTCTTTTATAGTTTGTTTTTCTTCAGTTACTATGCTTCATTCAACTGCATTTAGTATACACCTTTTCAATTTACTACTTTTCCAGTTCATTGGCAGAATTAATTGTTGGAATTATGTCAATGTTTTCTCTGACTATCGTTTTAAACTTGGCCAGTTTATTTTCTTCTTTTGGATTTTGCTCCCACTCCTCTATAGATAATGTGATTCGGTTGTGGTTTTCACTTTCTTTTGATACGGATTGTATATCATACAGTATTTTTATGTTGTGCAGAATAGTCCAGATGTGTTGGAAGTACGTCTCCGCTGGAGAAGAAGGTTGTTTTTTCGGTATTCTATCGAAAGGCGTTTCAAATAAAGGAAAAATTTCGATGATATCTTACAAAATCTTTATTTTATTTAAATTGAATAATAGAAGTCGCTTAATCAAAGACACATTATAATTATAATTGGCAATATTATGTAAGCTACACTTTCTTTTGAATTTCGTCGGTGTATATATACAAAATATCAAAAAATACTTATTTAAGAGAGTACAACCTTATAATAAGTAATAAATCACAGGTAAATTCTTTATTTATAAAAGGTTTCAGGTAGAAGACTGGTACGAAATTAAAATAATTTAAATATAAAGAATCTTAAACGCTTGCATTAATCTTGTAAATAAGGGATCATAAATCTTATGGGGCATTTAATTGGAACCAAAATCGGTAGGCAAGGATTATTACATGGATTTTTATACAAAAGGAATTAAAGTAATTAATGGGGCTGACTTTTAGTTTTAAAGTTAAAGTCTCGTTTTTATTCCCCTAGAATTCATTTCATTTTTTAGTCAGTTTTGTTATGAGTTTCTTTTAACGAAAGAAAAAGTTCTTGGCTCTAGAATAAAAGAAAATAATTTGTTAGCAGCTGGAATCTGGAACCAGCATTTATATGTATAGATCATAGAAGAGAGTTCAGCAGTTTTCCAAATGTTTTAAACAAGAGGGTGATTTACTGTACTGCTCAGACATTCCCGCTTAATAAATACTTTGGTATTGTATATATAGAGAGATCAACTTTTGTGACAAAGTCCGTTAATTTTTTTATTATTATTTTTTTTATTAGAAAAAGATGTCGCATCCACCAAACGGTTATTAGCGACGGAACAAAATATAAAAAACAAAGTTAAACACCTACAGATTGTACAAAATGTTTATGGATCTAAGATTATTCACTATATTGTTACAGGAACAGTTTTGACCTAGAGCCTGTAGAAGAGCGTTTGGGATCTTGTAGCGCTGTCTTTCTTGGTCATATTTACTACAAATTGTTAAAAAATGTTAGACTGTTAATCGGACGTTACACTGATCTCATATATTTGGATTTTTCTTTGTGAAAAGGTAGGAGTACGTTAATCTGGTATGTCCTAGGCGTAAACGCGCAACCGCAACTTGTTCTCGTCTGTTGAGCGACGATGGAAACCACTGAGACACATTATTTTTTATTTTATTTAGATTGGAATTATTTTGAGACCACTCATTTTGCCACAAACACCACACTTTATTTTAAAATAAGCTTCTAAGTCACTAAAAACACACTTGTCTATCGGCTTTGACAAATTACTTAAAATTGCCT